ATAATTCGCACGAGAATTGAGTTTATTTTTTTTCAACTCTAAACAAAAAGCGGCATTTACGAGGGTTGTCCAAAAAGTCGTATACTTTTTTTTATTATTTTTTAAACATGCAACCAATACTTAGCAATTTTGCATAGACATAATGTATTCAATGTTCTTTGAAATTGTGAATTTTCAATTTCAATTCCACTTTCAATTCACAAAATAAATCTTCATTAGTATTATTACTATGCTTCCTGTTGACCTATTAACTAAAACAAAATGTTCCCAAAATAAGGTCCTTTAACAGTTAATTCTGTTCATTCACATATCGACAGGATTGATTTCAGCATATATAATTATGAGAAGAATTTTTTATCTTATATTTTGAATCAAATGCCACTTTAACAAATATTTGATGGACAAAGTTAAAAGTCTAGTAACTTTATCCAGTGCAATTTAATTTGTTCATCCTTATAATGCTTAATTAATGTCTTTCATTTCCAAGGGAAGCCCATTTTGTTTTCGTTCGGTTTCTTTTTCCCCATAATTATTCTTTTTTATCTTACCTATTTTGTGCACGCCAGTTCTCAGAATTTTCTCAGATCTGATAGATATCTGAACCCTGTCAGAAATGTTAATGGTCGATATTTTATTTGTGGACTTTTGAGTTTAATTGTATTGAAAGGAAAGTTAATAATACCTTAAGTACGTATTATGGAAAAGACTTTCAACCCCGTCTATCTTTCATAAATAGAAACTCCATGTTGTTTAAATGTTATTAACAGGTGATGTTTTAAATACGTCAATGTTGTTTTTCTGACCTGTGACAAAATGGTGCGAGATAATGATAATTTCAAACATCTTCAACGTCCAATGACAGAAAAGTTGTAAAATTCCTTTCAGGGTTATGAACTTCTAATCACTAAAAGTTGTTTGTCTTGACACAGAGCAAAGGTTATTCTGTTAAGAACAAGGTCACTGACAGAAGAAATATTTTCTATACTACGCTATGAATTAGTAAATGCTTTAATCTGAGGAAAAACATAAGTGAGGCAACAACTTCTGCCGAATTCAGGTCATGATATCAAAAAAAGGAAAAGATCTTATCCATCTGAAGCAAACAAAAGTCAATCATATTAAGTTCCATGGTCACTTTCAAATACATGTTCCAGTTCATTATCAGAACTAAAAGATTATACGTATACAACTACAGGCTCTATAAAAAATATAACTAATATCCATATAAACAAAACTAAAACAGCATGGTATTTTGCTGTAAATTGCCGGGAAAATGCATTTTAATACATTTATACGAAGATGCCAAATTCACAAATGTCTTAGTGAAGACATCGAAAATTTTTTTTTTTTATTTTTACTCTTATAATCATTTATTTTTAGATATTTTATAGGGATAGTAATCCCTTTAGTGAATCGATACAAATATTCATTAGTATCTGTGGTAAGTTATTTTTGTGACGTAAGCATTTAAAATGTGTGCCTTTAAAACTGCATTATTTCCAAGAAAAATGTGATTAAGAAAAACTTAGTTCCACCAAAAAATAGCAGATATCAGAGGTGAATCATAACTTGGCATAATAAAAGACCCTTGGTTGATTGTAAATCCAATATATTTTTCCTTCAACCATAGACATATACACATAAACTTCAAGATTCATGGTCATGGATTTAAGTAAATATTATCAAATGAACATTTATTTTGCTATTATGTATTTATTTCACTAAAATACATAATTCAAATTTAAAGTTAAAGCTGTTCATGTAGATCAACAAACAAATTCATCTCAACTTTTAAAAGAAATAATAAGTACCAAATTAGATTTTGCTTACATTGACAGAAAACTTAAAATATAAAATATAATATGCGTTGTTATGGACTTTGACAATGACATTTTGAATGTTATACTATTTTTTTCTATTATATTTAAATGGGCGTTTTATTTATTTTCAGAAAGAGTCTATCCAATTTAAGGTAAGGTAAATACCTTTGTGACTGATTTGCTATTTGAATAGATATCAAGAATAAATACATGCAATGAAGGTCAGAATTAAAATCCATTCAATTTCAGTCTTCATTTAAGCACATTGCAAAGGGAGATAATTCATCCATCATCTACGGTCTAAATCAATCAATAGTTCTTTTCTCAATGATTCATGTAATTGAATGGACAAATATCAATTCAATTTTTTATTTGTAGATAACTACAAATTAATTTCTATGTTTTAATAAATAAATAATTCATTATCAAACACATTTGATATATGTTTTGTTATTGAATTTATTTTTCCTCATCCCATTTCTTATAAATATGAATAAACTGCATGTGACATATGAAACTATTGCTACAAATCGGTCAATACCAATACAGTCGCTGTAAGCATTTAATATATGTGACACCCGTTTTATTAAGACAATAGGGCTGATGAATGGAACTACCATCATCTCTTTTTTCAAAGTTTTTTTTCAAATATTCCGTGCATTTAAAATACTTATTTAAAATCAATTAAAAATTTCCGAGGAGGAAGACGCTTTATCAAAAATTAATTTTTAAACATAATCTATATTTTATTTGGTAGTTGTTATAAAAATGCTTCCCCATCGTTTGTATTCTGATAAGCAATAAATATGTTTTCTTGAAGAAAGTTAAATAAATGTAAAAATTTAATTATGTATTACATGTATACGATGAAGGGCTTCTACTGAAGAGATAGAATTAATTTATTGATTTAATAAATTATAAATGAATTGATTGAATAACGTGTATAAAACCATATGGTTTCGGTTGTCAACGTGTTTGAGATCATGATCAGCAAATCAGAACTCATCGGGTCTTCCTGTGTAACAGAATAATAACATCGAATATATTACGTATACATCATGACATCCCCATGCTCCTCACCCCCTTTACCTAAACTTTGAAATAAATGAACAAAGATATTAATTGAGTTTAATTTTATTGAAAGGAAAGCTAATAATACCTTAAGTACGTATTATAGAAAGGAGTTTCAACCCCGTCTATCTTTCATAAATAGAAACTCCATGTTGTTTGAATATCAGTAACCGGTGATGTTTTAAATACGCCAATGTTGTTTTTCTGACCTGTGACAAAATGGTGCGAGATAATGATAATTTCAAACATCTTCAACGTCCAATGACAGAAAAGTTGTAAAATTCCTGTCAGGATTATGAACTTCTAATCACAAAAGGTTGTTTGTCTTGACACAGAGCCAATTTTAAGGTTATTCTGTTAAGAACAAGGTCACTGACAGAAGAATTATTTTATTTACTACGCTATGAATTAGTAAATAAAAATCATTGAAGGCTCTTAGTTGAAACATAGATTACTTATGATTTGGGGTTTTGTTATGACCCTGATCAAATGTTTTTCTGACAAAGAAAAAAATGTTTAAGGTAAGTCACTCCTCAGCTTTTTAGAAAAGTTCACGCAGAAGCTCTTACTTCAAAACTATTAATCAAATTTCAATTTTTAATGCAGATTTATATTCAACAATGTAATTTTTTTTACATTCAATTAAAATACTGCTCAAAAATCAACAAAGAAGCAAATTTTATGAGGACCTATTTCTTTTGGTGGAAGGATATTTAGCAGAAAATTCTGCAAATCTGCACATTTATAAAATTTAATGTAATGGAAATTTAGCCTCACATACTTTTACTTGGAGAATATTTTCCGTTTTGATATTGTTAAAAATATTTAATATAGGTCTTAATTTACATTTTTAAACTAAGTTTTACACCTTCCTCAACAAACTTTCCCAAAAAATGAAAATATATGAAAGGAGTCAAGGTCAAATTTACACCATTTTTAGCCTGAAAATCACATATTTTGACAAATATTTCAAAATTAACATCACTGATCCCACCTTTTTCTGTCATTATTTTAAACTACTCGATACTTGTGACTGATCAGCACTCAAGTCGTAAAAAAGTTTGATATAAGAATTTTTTTTTTGCCTTTTAAGTTTTTTAATACCCCAAATATGTTATTTTTAAGTGCAAAAAGGTCAAACAATAATTTACGCGCATTAATTTGCAAGATTTTTTTAATGTTCAATATTATTCAAACTATTTTACGTAAAATAAGATTATATTTATTGCCTTGCTTGCATCTAATCAAATATAATAAAGCTTAAAGTAATTAACCAAAGCGATGAAATTTAAGTGCAAAAAGGTCAACTTAAATGTACCGTAGATCAGTAGGATGCACACTGACCCCCTATTTTCTTTGCAATTTTGAGTTACACTTTATGAGTACTTATCAAAAATGTACTTCTCAAAAAATCCTTGATATAACAAACTTGAGGAGTGACTTACCTTAAGTATAACTTTATAATTAAAATTTATTGGAGGATCATGCCTGGAAGAAAGGTTGTTGACATTAGAAAGTGCAGTGACCTTGACCCAAGGTCTGTACTTCCTGTCCGTAGCTCCAACGGAAGACCTACTTGTTGCTTTGCAACGAGCTCGGCTCTAGTTTTTTTTTTTTTTTTACTTTTTCTCTCTATCGGCGCATTTGTAAATAAAAAAGTTTTTTTTTTATTTCAAATACATACTTCTCAATTTCTGTGCTTACGATAACTTGGACCATCAAAAAGATAACAAATCACAAAATGCCAAATTATATCATAAATTTAAACTAGAATGGAATTTTAACACAAATATGTTTTTGTCAATCGATCCAAGCAGAACTATTAACTTTGTTTGATATACAGAAAAAAGATTATTGACATTTTTAATGAAAAAAGGTCATTTATTGACAAAATGACGTAACTACTAATATCGTAATATACTTTTTGTAAGAAAAGTTAATAACACTCTATGAGCAAAATCATCTTAGTGTACTATGTAAAATGATTTTAAATATAAAATCTATATTTCATAGAAGTAAGCTTTTTTAATCACACATAAAAATTGTATAATTGTACTATTAAACTATCCATTGTTGTATTATTGAGAACGGAATTCTTTTGCATTGTTATCTTTCTTTCCTCCTGTATAATCTGCATCTGTAGACAAAAATAAAGAAAAAAGATAAACTAGAAAAGAAAGATCAACAATTAAGTTCATATTTATTATGCCGAAACCCGCTGTTTTAAAATATAAAACGATCAGGAAATACATAATGAATGTGTTTAATTAGAAAATTACAGACTGGTTTACCTAGTGAAGTTTAATTAACATCCTGGTCTCCCTTACTGAGGATCCGTACTCTACTATAGGATACCATGGAGCGGCCCACATTGCCGGGGCCCAGGGACCGTTAAGGTAGGCGAGGTGGCAGTAGTTAAACCACCAGCCTCCTTCATTAGCTGCGGCACAGTTCGGACCCATAGCTCCGTCATTATCCCTGTCTGGAGTGGAGAAGAACATTCCAGACAGATCTCTCGTAGACTTCCCAGTGTCTAACATAGCGTCTCCTGTAGAAGTAAAGGTAACACCTGGATTATATCAATAAACCTGTTGTAATCTCTCTTTTCTTTTCGTTGTGATTCTTTTTTTTTAAATTGACTATATCGGTCTGAAAAAAACAAGACAGGTTTACTAACTTATTCAAATTCAACGAATACAAACGACCAATGTAAAAATATCTTGTCTGATATGTTATATCCTTTTTTTTTGCTGCACGATATATCTACATATCTTTTATCTATGCTTTGATGTTTATTTGGTATAACTACACCACATTGGACTTTTAATAAATAAATAAAAAGGAATCTCGAAAAAAATGATAAGAAAATTAGATCGTTATTTTTAAAAAAATATAGATAAATTGCCGATAATTAATTTTAAAAAAAATGAAACCAAAAGAACTATATGCGGTATATTGCATATATTTGCCCCCACAAAAGTCAAATTTTGAAAGCTTCCTGAAATGTGCTGAATTAAATAAATTGTATGAGAAATATAAATTAACAGAAAATATTATAGTCTATTCAAAATTTCTGTTTTTATAACGTCACAAACTAGTCCGATTTTATATCCTTTTTCAGAAAGAGAACAAAATGGACAATATTTCAACAATTTTAGTATTAAAATTTATAGATCGCAAGTATGTTCAGGAACAATCACAGGATGAAAAGCCAGGTTTCCCAAATTTGGAAACCCGATGGAAACATATGGGAATCGTGACATCAGTAGTTTCCATATAGTTTCCATTTTATGGAAACCACATAGTGGTTTCCACATAGATTCCCGACATGGAAACAATCAACCTGTGGTTTCCCGTAAGTTTCCCAAGATAGGAAACCATGAAAACATACCCCGGTGGTTTCCACATAGATTCCCGACATGGAAACAATCAACCTGTGGTTTCCCGTAAGTTTCCCAAGATAGGAAACCATGGAAACATGCCCCGGTGGTTTCCCTGTAGATTCCCGATATGGAAACAACCAACCTGTGGTTTCCCGTAAGTTTCCCAAAATAGGAAACCATGTAAACATGCCTCAGTGGTTTCCATACAGGTTCCCGACATGGAAGCCACCAATGTGTAGTTTTCCCCATGTTTCCCAGGCAGGGAAACTTTGAAAGTATATCTCAATACTAACCCACCTACGTTTTATTTTACAAAAAGTTAAATATTTAATTATGTTACCATATTTTTACCAATTATAGAAATATTTCAAAAGTGTTTACATGCTGTATCAAAATAATTAGCTTCAAACAGTTAAAATAACTAGATGTGTATTTCTGTGTGATTAATTTAATATTTCAGCACCGTGAACGCAATTCAATTTTAATTTAATTTTATTTAACTGAATTTTATTTAATTTAATTTTGAATTTGATTTATCACATAAGTTTTGGTAAACTCGTATAGAATGCGTGAAGTGGAATAGAAAAAAGTAAGTGCATGCAGTTACGTAGAAATCAATCATTTCCGATCCCACTTTCTTGAAGCTGTCTATGATGAGTGTTCCTTTGAAAAAATGGAAGAGCTAAGGAAGGGTACATTTAATGAAATTATTTACAGGCAATGTTTACTAAAAAGATGGATTAAAAAGTAAATAAAGAAATATGTCAAGTTACGATTACTGATTAAGGACAGGTGAGACGTTCCTCAATAAAATAATTAATTTTTTTCCCAATATTTTGCAATTGACATTGAAGAATTATTTTTACATAATTACATGTATTCATAAGACATCAAGGTACCTTACCAGGCATTTGTGTTAGATACCAGAGGTTGGCATTTCTTCTATACCGGGGTAATCCGTCAGGAAAAAAATACTTCAGTTGGTTTGTCAAATTATATTTTTAGTGTTTCAAGTTTTTAAATACAAGTTTAGAAAGTGATAAAGATTTTGTTTTAATATATGAATTAATATATTAATATAAACTGGTCAGATAAGAATCATTCATCGAATTGGCTGGGGTTGAATATTATCATACTAGTATTTTACTATTAATAGTGAATATTGTTTTTTTTTTTAATCTATTAAATTATTATTTTTATTATTGGGGGTGGGTGGGTTCCTTTTCATTTTTTCCTTGAGAAGCCCCCCCCCCCCAAAAAAAAAAACCGCTTTTGAAAAAGTCACTATGGTTGGCCTGTGTAATTAGGGACACCTGTCCCCACGTGCCATTTCAGGTGGAGACACGTGCCGCGAAGACACCTGTCACTGTGTATTTTTTGTATATTCTATGTGAATTGAGACGGTTTTGTACCTAAAGGGAACAATGGGCTGTTGTCGAGCATGTACACACACAGTCTCCGACCGAAAATTCTTTTAAATTAAGATGATGATTCGTGTTTCTTTTATCATTTAAAAAATTGTATATTCAATAAATAAAGTTATACAAGAGAACATATTTATAAAATAACCTACATTTAAGAAGTTCAATGAAAGAACAAACTATTTAGAATTTTTATTTCAATTTTCATTACTGATTTAAAATTAAACTATCCTCTTTAGAAATTAAATAATTTTCTATAGGTATTGAATAGATCTTAATTCTCGTCGTGTATAATTATATTAAATCAGAATGACGTTAATAGATCAATGTGAAATCAAAACTGTATTTAATATTGTTGATGGGTTTTTGTGTGAGATTTGTAATCTAACGTACTACAAAGACATTTATTAGATAAATGTTTATAATATAATTCATCACATAAAACGTTTTTTTCTTTCCTTTTTTGTTTAAATATGTACGCAGATCCCCGTGTAGTAAACGCCTGCACTTTTCGCATGAAAATACAATGTAGGGTCCTAAATGTACATACATTATATTTAACAAACTTTAAAATTTTCAGCCATTTTTTTTTCTCCAAAGGCCATTGCTCTAGATAAAGAAAAGTCTATAATATTTTGCATGATTTTGTTTTCCTTAAGAACAATGGCTTTTAAAGTAGTGCATGCTAAGGCAATCTATTAAAAGAATTAATTGTATATAATTAATTCATTGTATAATTGTCACGATTGTATTTTTGTGCAGTTTTTGTTGATTTCATTCTATAAAGGTATGAAGTTTGTCAATACTTCAACAAACATTTCTTTATCTATGTTGTACACTACTTTATTTTTATTCGCCGACATGCTACTCTTTTAAAAAAAAAATGCATGACTAATAGACTCGATCTTCAGGCCTAATGCAATTCTATTTGAATCAAGTGAGCAGCTTGATAATAGTGTTTTTGACGATTCATTTTCGAAGGAAACGGGGAAGAAAAAGCTACAAAACTCAAATATGGCCTCAAGGTCATTTCCGAAGGGCCGGGTAACACATGTCACTATAATAAACAAGAAAACATTGATGTAACCATCAATTGTCGCCCGGGAAATAAATAAAGTAAAAATGATGGAAATGAGTCGTCTTGATCATCAAACCTCTTCGAAATGTGTGAAAAAGGCATGCGTCTAGATGATGGAGACGATAGTCGAGAATATTTTGAAAACTTATAGACGGATAAAAATCGAACAAAAACAATATCCTTTCAAACTTTATTAATTCCTCAAGTAAATATATGCTGCATAAAATATAAATTGAAACCAGACACATGCATTTCCTATATTCAAAAATGTATTTCACTATAAATATAAAACACGAACTGTGTAGAGTACGTTTTTATGCGGTAAGTAAAATTCGATGTTCTAAAAAAGGGGACCTGTCGTTTTTTTATTGTAAATGATTAGCAACTTTGTATATTAAATATGAAAAACATATATATTTTTACAGATTCACTTTATGGAAGTTAATATATTACATGTATTTCTTAATTTATAAAGGGAAAGAACATTCTAATTAACAATCTTTTTAATGTTTAGAAAACGTTTAATTCTGAATAATTTCTCCCACCTCAATCCCCATACACCAACAGTTAAACTTATATGTATAGAGCAGCCCGGTCCTCCGGGCTGCAATAAATACTACTACTATTGATAGCAGGCTCAAAATCTAATTAAACCCCGAAAAGGAGGGAGTTCAGTTAGTAATTTAATCCCCCCCCAAAAAAAAAAAAAACACAACAATTTATTAGCAATGAATTATTAATCACCGAACTTTTCAATCATCACTATTGAAATAAAAAAAAATGTTCTTGATAATCATATTATAATTGTAGCTCATTTTCATGCCTTTTAGGATTCCTGTGGAAAGTTCACAATTAAAAAAAAATGTGCTTTTAAAAATGTAACAGCTTTCGGTGTGACATAAATTCATAATCATACATGTAACAGTTAAAAGAAGGGGGGGGGGGGGGGGGGGGGGGGGGGGGGGGGGGGGGGGGGGGGGGGGGGGGGGGGGGGGGGTACTTTCAGCAAGGACGGCCACTACCAACAACCAAGCCCCGAAACCTATATCCCAAATAAGTTGAGGTGTCAAGCAAGAAACATTTTTTTTCTGCTCTTGCCTCATGTATTTAACCGCTTTTTTTTCCAAATCAATATGATTAAATTCTAAGGATATATATTTTACAATTTTTCTGAAGATACTAGGCCTACACATCATATCGGCAAAAATATTTAGGAGCCCCTCTTTTTATTCCATGAAAGGGGAAAACTTAATTAAATTATAATATAAGATTTCATAATCACATTTAATCATAGTGAATGTAAACAGTTTATATTTCCCATCCTGCGTCGCTCTGTATGTATGCGCTTTATTTCATTGGTCAATTTCCCGAGGCGCCATTTTTGGAGGATCGAGAAGGATGAAGAAGAAGGTGTAAGCAGTGTAACAACGCGAAATGTAATAACAACGCCAAATGTAATAAACATGGATTATTACATTTTGCGTTATTACATTTTGCGTCGAAATCAACGCAGAATGTAATAACGCAAAATGTAACAAGACATTTTTGAGGATTATTTCATTTCGCTTATTACAATTTGCGTCGAGATCAACGCAATATGTAATAACGCACAATGTAATAACATGATTTTTGGATTATTACATTTTGCGTTGTTACATTTTGCGTCGTGATTAAGCAAACAGCAAGAACGCAAAATGTAATAACACACTCTTTGGTCAGCCAGATTGAGTACAATTATTAATAGAGTAGTAGCCGGTGAAGAGGAAATTAAACAAAAGGAAAAAACAGATACATGCAATTTCCTACAATTAATGAATTTCATAATATATTGAAATAATAAGCTACATGTGTTTAAAATCAGTTTAATTAATATATTCAAATTATAAGTTTTGCAAATTAGAAACGCGCGTGAGTAGCAGTGTACTTTTGCTTTTTTTAAATAGAAAATGCAATGAATCTAAGAGAAAACCTATTTATTTGTACTGGCAGGTGTAAATATATATCTGAAGGGTTTATTGACAATTGTGATACCATACTGATCTATGCAAATCACCTGCATTGCAGACAAGCAACCCCCCACCCCTCTCTCTCTCTCTATCCAATGTTTCTGCATGTCCATAGTAATACAATGATAAATATGCTAAGTAAACACTCCACCCTATCCCTGCCCTTCCTCGCTTGACACACACATACACTTCTTTGTTAACCAATGTACACATGCCAAACATGCATATCAAGAGCTAATAATGAACTTATGGTCAATTCTTTGGTAATTAAATAAATTGTGTTATTGGTTAGAAATTTAATAAGAGTATCAAAAATATGCCAATTAAGTTAAATTAAAGCTGTATAATTTAGCACAGTGTATTCAATATTACTAAAGTCAGAGTCAGAAAAACAATACATTTTGATGTATTTATGTCCGTAACAGCCCTAGCGTTGTTCTCATTGTTTTAGTTCTAAATATTTTGTACAGCGTTTTTCCCATGTTGGTTATATATATATTTGAATCAATTTTATGATCTTTTTTGTTAAACGCAATAAAAAAATTGTATTTTGTTTTATTACATATTGTTTTATAACATTTTGCGTTGTCTTCAGTGCAAAAATAAAATAACGCAAAATGTAACAACGAAAAAGCACATTATTACATTTTGCGTTGATCTCGACGCAAAATGTAATAACGCTAAATGTAATAATCTAAAAATCGTGTTATTATATTTCACATTATTACATTTTGCGTTGATCTCGACGCAAAATGTAATATTTACATTTGCAAATGTTTTCCTTTATATAACACTACTGAAGGCAAGCGATTTTATAACTGTGTAAATACAGGTATGGGGTCAAGAGGTCATAGATGTGCGTTTGGATAAACGTTCGACGTAATTTCTCTGTGACGTCATAAAGGGTCGACGCGCGTTTAGTGGATTACATACATGCCGTTGGGTTTGAAAAATTAACGCATTTCACACGTTAAAAGTAACAATCAGGCAAATATAAAGTATGAATAAGTCACAAATGTAAATATAAGTAATAAGGTATCATTTTTTTAGTTTTATTGAGATGTAAAACGGGTTGGCACATGATCAAATCTTCCATAAAGCCCTTCGGGCTTTATGGGATTTGATCACGTGACCAACCCGTTTTACATCTCAATAAAACTCAAAAAATGATACCTTATTTCTTAAATAACGCAAAATGTAATAATCCAGGTTTATTACATTTCGCGTTGTTATTACATTTCGCGTTGTAACAAAGCAGCTGGTAAATGTGAAAAGTTAAGATGGTTTCACCACCCAGTGTCTTTAAAACTGTGATAAATGCAATGGCCAACGATGAAGGATTAGTGTACGTATATTTTTGTTAACTTTTTACGGTAAATAGTTGTAATATTTGGCAACAACAAATCTTCACTATCGGAGGCAACTTTTGTTCTGACGCCATTTTGAAAAGTTGGATACCTAAGTTTTAAATCGTTAAGTGTATATATTGCAGCGAGAAAGAGAGAGAGAGAGAGAGAGAGAGAGAGAGAGAGAGAGAGAGAGAGAGAGAGAGAGAGAGAGAGAGAGAGAGAGTGATATAGCATAACTTAGATTATGGAGGCCCCAAAGGCACCGTGCATGTGCATGCTGTATGTTGTAAAATGGCAACGTTTCGCCTTTTATCATGTTTATTAAAACGTATGCTCCATATGTATGTTCTCTCTCTATACTATAAATGAATACTTTTCGGAATTAAAAAAAAATATTTTTAACCCCGCTCAAATTATCCGGATGATAATAGTTACACCGAGCATGGTTTCGTAGTTAAATTCAGACTGTAGAACATCCGGTTTGAATACATGTGTTTTCTGACTTTTTGGATAGCCAACTCTTGTGTTTTGGAACTTACGACTTATGGCAAGGTATAAGTTAAATATTTTTGGTTCAGAACTTTGATAAAAGCATCGATATTTTTACAAAAAGTGTCTTCAATCTCAGCTTATCCGATTATTCATGAAGGATATCCTCATCAGAACAGTTGGAATAGGTTGTAGACTTTGTAGTCAATACTGTAGCATAACCCTTAATTATATATGCATGACGATGATATGGAGGAAAAATATACATAAAAAAGTGAATGTTGCTGAAAGCCTGTCCACTTTTCTGAAGAGATTAGGTTTGTTTTATTGTTTATTGAAATATTTTACTGCTCAAAAGATTTTTTTTTTTGGTAATGTCTAACCTGTTGAGATGAAGATGTAAAAAAAGAAAAGCCTAATAGAGAATTAATATTGATAGTATGTCAAGAAATGCAAATGAATCATCAGCTTGAATTATCAGTTTTTTCACATTAATATGGACTTGAGTAGGTCAATGTATAGCGAATAATACATACTCTTTTCCATATCACATCCTAGCCCGAGACACCAATATCAGCCAGAGGGACAGAGGCCCTAGGGCTGATATTGGTCGAAGGTCTGATACAGGATGTGATGTGGAAAAGGGTATGTTTCATTATGTTTATTACAAACTTGGTAATAAAATACAGAACACTTCAAGCTGAGAAGATCAAGAAAATAAGTAAATAATCATGCACAATAAAACTACTTACATACGAGGGGTTATCAAAAAGTTCGTGGACTGAAGCTATAAAATTAGTACTATGTAGTCTGTGCTTTCAAAATTTATATGGAACATAAAACAACAAAAAATAAAGAAATGTTGAAAATTTTAGCCTGATAGGTCCATTACTTGCCAAATTATTATAAGATAAAAACGACATTATACGATCACCCGGCGCTGTTGTCGTTTATTTTCATGACGTCAAATATCGTCATTGTTTTTACAATGTCCGCTCCTTGTACCTCACATACCTTTTTGATGAGATTCTCTGGAACTGAGTAAGGACTTCAACCGCCTTGTTTATATGACTTTACAATGTCATGAACAGTGGCCTTCAATGAATATAATATTCCAAATGGATTAATACATTGGGAGAGATCGGCGCTTGATTGTGCCGGCATATTTTGCTTTTGGGAGTTCAATATCTCACAACACATGATCAACGTCATTTTTTGACGTGATTGATTTTTCACACCATGACTGCAAATTGACATTAATTGTGTATCCCTTTTCTCTCTGAATCTATTTTGATATTAAATAACAAGTACTCTGGATGCATATTATTTCTCTGTAGCCAGTTTTATCATACTTTAGGTCTATATCAGTTTTTTCAGGGGCAAAACTTGACAGAATGTTGGAAACGAAAACCACTCCCCCCTTTTGACGCCATTTTCAAGGCATCATTTGTTTGGACATTCCGTGAAAATTTACGATAAAATTTTATAGAACCTCCAGAATAAAGTGAACATTTCATGTTTTATGAAACAATTGTGTCCCGACACATACCTCAATTAACGGGAATTTTGGATGTCAAATGGGCATATCAAAACAGTTTTTCTCAATTACACATAGGTCGCAAAAGCGTCGTGTTCGAGGTTGCGCCGCCTGGACATACCATTGCTTACAAAATCATTGCTAATTTTTTAATGAATAAAATTCATGATTTATGGTTTTTTCTTAAGATAGAAAAGATGATGCTAACTAGATATATTAAAATTCATTGATGTACCTAGAGCGGTTTTAATTTTATGACGCTAGTCCACGAACTTTTTGATAACCCCTCGTACATGTACACGGTATTGTCTTACTGAACAGATTTAGCTGTCATTAGGTCAAAATTGCAAATAATAACATGCTTCTGATATCTGTATATACAGGTAACTCTTGATGGCTTGAACTTTGATTTCTCGGAAGTTCTTGATCGCTTGAAGTGAGTCTCCAGTCCCGATTTTTTCCACTATATAACTAAGCAGATTTGCTCTTGATTTCTCGAACTCCTGATCTTTCGAAACCCTTGATCCCTCGAAGTCAAAATGCAATCCCATTGTGCTGTGAATTTTACCCTTGATACCTCGAAGTGGCTGTGTGTATACCGAGATATAATGTTCAAACTTTTGCCATAACTGTATATCTGTGTGTCTGTCTGAGTGTCTGTTGTCAACTTAAACCTTCACCATAACTTTAGAACTATACGAGATAGTGGCTTCATATTTAGTATGCATACTCCACTAATGAAGTGCTTTCAAATGGCAACAAGGACAATGATTATGTGATCTTGACTGAGACCTGTATGCTAAAAAAAACTGCATTTTCGAATTTGTTGCTGTGTTTCACAAGCGCATCTTGTTTTTAGCTCTACTGGTCAGAGACCAGAAGAGCTTATGCAATAGTAATGCGTCCGGCATCCGTCCGTCTGTCTGCAAACACTACTCCTCCTTAAATTTTAGTCTGATTTCAATATAACTTGGCACACAAGTAGACTACTAAGATACATAATTCTGTGCATCAGTTTTTGATAAGTACAAACCAGTAGAGCTACAGTCTCGACAGAGACTTCTGGTTATTTTTTTCTTCCATCCTGGTTGTTGCTAATGCTATTACATAATTTATTAGTTTAAATTAGAATGCAATAGTACCTGGACATAATTTATCATTTCAGAGAGAAGAAAATTGTGTGACTTTAAAAGAAGACCAGTGAGATAAAATCATAGAAAATGTATGATGATTCAGGATGTGGTCATTTGGTAAGTGGTAATTCATTCATGATTAGTATGTATATGACAATTGCCTGAAAAAAAAAATTCTAAATTTTATTTAAATATTGAACTGTGGTATATCAGCTGTGAGCTGCAAGAAGTTTTATGTAAAAGCTAGGGCTGAAACAATTTGCCCCCTCCATGTTATGTGTGTATTGCTATGATTGACATACAATCAGTTCTCTAATACATACACTTCAATAAAACTTTGTCGTCTTGGATCTGAATTGAACAGGAAAAAACTCTGAGATCTCTCCAAAAATTTGAATGAAAAAAAGAAATGCTTAGTAACTGATTTCTTGCTGGTCAGAATTTTGATTACTTAAAGGAAGCTCTAAAAACTGCACACTAAAGAGTTCTACTTTAATATCAGGTAGTTTTTATGAAGTTAGAGTGATCTGCCCATAGATTAAGATTATGAAAAATGTTATTTTACAGTCAGTTAGATTATTTTTAATAGATTAAATTATTTCTAGCATTATTTAAAATTAAAAAAATAGGAAATAAATTATTTTCATAATTTTTTCCAATGTAAGTAAACAGCAAATGATTTCTGCTTACAGATACTGTCTGTAGTCCATTGTCTTTGAAAATTTCTTGGGGAAATGAGGCAGATATCATATGTTCTAAATGAATAAAAAAGGCTCATTATGCACATATTTATATGAAATATGATAGATTTTTTTTCTCTTCAAGGAATAATTTCTGCAAGTCACTAAGTTTTTAGAGTTTCCTTTATTTTATAGATATTCAATGAAATTATTTGAAGTATTAAATTTTGGTAAATTTTATGATACTAAAAGGTTATCTGGATGAAAAAACAGCATGCATGTATGACAATAGGGCTTAAATTTTTAATGTTTCTTAATTTGTCAGTGACATTAGAACAGGAATTGTCATCACCAATAGACGAATTTCACATTCCTAAGAGTTTTCCCCACTTTGTCCTTTGTAAGTTACTTGTTAATATTTTCAATCTTCAAAAATATTGGACAATTACAATCTGTATCTGTATTGCCAGAGTATGGGGGCAACATGAAAATCATAATGAATATGTTCATACAGATTTTATTTCTAAGATATTGTCCCTCAAAGTTGATACAAAGAGGGAAAACAGTGTCTTAAGCCGATTGACCCCAGATCGACCCTGCGAAGGGGAATAACTTTTGTAAATGTGAATTATCAAAGTCCTTTATGGTATATCATATAGATCTAAAACTGACTGAATTTTGATCAGCCAATTCATGAACATGATGAATGGATGTAAATAATGTTGGTCAATATATGTAAAAAAAAAATTAAATTACTTGTTTATATATACATTTGTGGTATCTCTCCCATTGAAGTTTATAAACTTGTTCTTTATTTCTCAAATAAACTGAGCGTACATGCAATACCGGTATAAAATTACTCATAAGATACATGTATACTTAAACCATGAGAAAATCATATGTGTCCAATGCAGCATATGATAAATCATAAACATACAAGTACATGTGTATATATACTGTAATACATATATATTGCATTATTTTTAGGTCCTGTTCTGTGGATGCCCTAAGACAGTGTGTCTACCCATCACTCCATCTGATATCACTTGTTCTGTGCATATTTCTCAAACTTAAACTACAGAGAGCCTGTGGATAGAGGATGAAGAGTGACCTTGGACTAATTTTCTAGGCCAAAGGTCAGTATCAAAATCTACTGTATATCTTTATTTAAAATCGTAGTCCAGAGTATATTTCTCCCCTGGTGTAATCTAGCTTTTTTGCAATGGGGTGGAGAGTCTGCAATGATCTTAAACCAATTTCTAGGTCGAATATCAAAATATAAAAAAAATCTCTCCCTAATATTTTTGTTATTATAAAGGGTATGTTTTCTCTCAAACTAATCAAACTTAAGGGTCCTCCACACCATGTGACCCGTGACATATATAGAGAAAAAACATTTTTACTTCCGGTTTTATTGAGAAAATACATGAACGAATTGTCCTACCACCGTTTGTAAACAATGAACACATGGCATGATCACGAAGTGACCGATGAAAAGGATTGCGGTAATTTTTTTTAATAAAAGAACAACAGACGTCTTGGATTATGTTAATAAAGATAATAATTCCTAGACAACAGGTACCGGTGGGTATGATGAGAAACGTATAGGTTATTTACACTTTCAGGCTAATCAACCCAGTCTGATTTTGATAGTTGAACATGTTGAAATTTCGGCACACTAATTTGTACGTTTCAATAATACATTATCTCATTGTGTTTTTATAAATATTGATAAAATAGAGTGCGTTTCTAGTTTTCCTCTTCTATTTCTGTCCAGTTAAGTGGCCATTATATTACTAAATATAGTATGGTGATGTAAGCGGAGACTTGCCAAAGTTTTTGAGTCCCGAGCAACAGGAAAGATAACTCCAAAAAGGAACTTTTATACCAGAGATTTTGAAAATGTTTTTTTACATCAGTGTATTTAATTTTAGTTCAATTTTTTGATGTAATCTAATTCATTAATGTTTCCTCTCTACAAAAGGAGTCCTTGTTGATTTTTCTCTTGATGTATTTCAGAGAAAATGAGATTTATATACTTTTTATAAATAAAATAAATTTCTGTAAAAAATGTGTTGATCGATAAAATTAAGTTTTTATGGTTATTCTGTGAGCTGAAAAATATACGAAAGGGTAAGACAAAACTTTCTGTGCTAGGTATGAAAACGCCTTTGGAAAAATTTGTTGAAACTTGTGAAATAATTATTTTAAAAAATCAGTATAAATTACACTTTAATCCCTGGACAGTTTTTAAAGGTTGATATGATTGTTAAAAGTAATGCTCAATAATATGAGAACATAAGCTGTGGGTGTGTGGAGGACCCTTAAAGCAGGGTTCTTAGTATGAGATACATGTAGTAATATATTCTCAATGACATAATAAGGCTGAAAACATTATTTATATTATTTTTTTTTCACTTATCATAAAGCATTAAATATTAAAGAGATACATTAAATGCTGAAATCATATGTATCATGATCATGGAAAGTAATTATTGATATTGGTATATTAAAGGACATTGACTGAATTCTTTCAGATTTCTAAGTTATTTTCAAGCATTATAATTCTGACATCATATAATAATTTTGTATGAATATTGCAGATCATAGGTGATGTGAAGAAAACCAGGAAACTGATGTTGAAAGAAGTACTTAATGACCCTTATGAATGGACTTAAATGTGAAAGACTGTTCCATTGTTTATCTAAGATATATGAATTTATTTAATATTTTGATATCATTGAAAAATTCAATTACAGTTTTTGTACATCAAATGAATTATTAAACATATAAAATGGAAATGCTTTTTTCTTTTACATGTAATAAATTTTTTTGATAGATTTTTAAAAGAATACGCATTATTTCACATTGCTTCCTTTAGAAAAGTTAGGGGATCTTGAAGTTTCCCAGTAATTTCCACCAGGAATGGGACTCCAGATAATTCCACCAAGTTTCCGCCACACAGAAAGTGCTACACAAGTTCCACATAGTTTCCTGAGTCAAGGAAACTTCAGGAATCATAAGGTTTCACGAGCTTCCATGTAGTTTCCCATAAAAGAAAACCTTAAGATTCCATCAAGTTTCCATTCCACGGAAACCACTACGCTCATTCCATATGGTTTCCTGAGTCGAGGAAACTTTAGGAATCATGAGGTTTCCCGAGCTTCCATGTAGTTTCCCGTATAAGGAAACCTAAAGATTCCATCAAGTTTCCATTCCACGGAAACCACTACGCTCTGATTCCATATGGTTTCCTGAGTCAAGGAAACTTTAGGAATCGTGAGGTTTCCCGAGCTTCCATGTAGTTTCCCGTAAAAGGAAACCTAAAGATTCCACCAAGTTTCCATTCCACGGAAACCCCCTACGCTCCGATTCCATCAAGTTTCCTGATTCTGGAAACCAGTGGAATCTTCAGGTTTCCCATCACGGGAAACTACATGGATGTTCGGGAAACTTCAGGTTTACAGAGGTTTCCGTGGTACGGGATACCTTATGGAATCGGAGCGTAGGGGGTTTCCGTGTCACGGAAACTTGGTGGAATAACCTAGCATCCGCTACGGAAACCACTGGGAAACATGATGTAAACTTGAGGTTTCCATGTGGTTTCCATAAAGTTTCCCATGATGGGAAACCACTTTTTTCACCCAGTGAATATTGAAATATTTCATTGATATTATCATTCTACACATTATATCAAAATATTGATCCTGAACACACATGCACTCGGTGATTTTTACTCAAAATATCGACGAAATATGTACATTTTTCTGTAAAATTCATAAAAAACTGAATTTTACGTAATGTTTGTGACGACATTACGTACATATGGCGTCATTACTTATAAAAATATCCAGTGCTTTGAAGTCAGCATATACTCCCATGTCTAAGAACTTAATATATCTCCATCAAATTTTGATTTGGGGGGTACATATTGGTTATTACCGAATAAAGTCCTTTAACAAATCATTATTTTTATTTACTATGTAAAATGTTGCATGAACTTTAAATACAAAAACCCCAACTTTTCTTTTAAACGCTAATACTCTCTCTCTCTCTTTCTCACTCACTCTCTCTCTCTCTCTCTCTCTCTCTCTCTCTCTCTCTCTCTCTCTCTCTCTCTCTCTCTCTCTCTCTCTCTCTCTCTCTCTCTCTCTCTCTCTCTCATATCATTTATCAATTACTAACCTAATGTCCCGGTAGCTGGCCCGCCAAGGAAAAGTTTGTATTTGCCTGATTCATCACTAATAGCAAACTGTTGATAGAGTTCATACAGAGTTGTGCCATTTCTTAATGTGATGGAGACGTAGAGAGATGAGTTTCTTCCCTTTGTCAACTGCTGAATAACGTCGTTTCCTACAATACATGTACGTAATATGTATTGTTAGAAATGATTTAAATTTTTGGAGTATAACATACGTTTAAAATGAAAATAAATTAGGATTTCAAGAATGGCAGACATTAATTAAAATTTGTAGTTTCCCCATACCTTAAACCAATGTTATTTTTAACTCTACGATTTAAGAAAAAATAACATCAGATTTGTGTTATTTTTACTACACTCATAGTGATCGTGTTATCAAATTGTATTTGAAAAATTATATTTTCATGGTACATACCCTGAATTCATCATGCTATTGTAGAATGAGAGATTAACACAAGTACTTACCAATCCAGTAGGAGTCGTTAGGATTCCCGAACCCAGTCTTGTACTCCGCCCACGATTTGTTGAATCTCACAGATCCGCCCACACGTCTCTGAATTGCCTTTGGGTTAAAAAAAGAAATAAATGCTTCATTTACGGTATTGTGGGTTTCTTAAAATATATGTATTTTATCTACTGATTAGCCCGCATGTTATATGTACAAAATTTAATGTAATTTCAAATAAAATTAAAATAGACAAAGGTAATAAAAAGAAAGATATCGAAAGAGCTCTTACTGTCCACCCACTGCCCTCGGTTTCCATGTCACAATACACGCTGACTTGGGTCTGGTTTTCAAACGGATGAATTTCATAGACACCGGACTGTGTTTTTCCCTCTGTATAGTGGTCCTTACAATCCTGTTTGAGTTTGACATCTGTATGACAAAAAACGTCATAAACATTATGATTATGAAAAGAAGAAAACGTGGAACAATAAGATTGATTGATTGTATATTGTTTCACGTCCCTCTTGAGAATTTTTCACTCATATGGAGACGTCACCAATGCCGGTGAAGGGCTTCAAATTTAGACCTATACTCGGCACTCAGGGCCATTGAGCAGTGAGGGTTCTTTATCGTGCCAACGCCTACCGTGACACGGGACCTACGTTTTTAAGGTCATATCCGAAAGACCCGTGACTTTCACTTCTAGTGCCGAGCGCTTGGCGAAGGAACAGTCACTACCTTTGTTTACGTCTTAGGTATGACGCGGCGCCGCGATCGAGAATCGAACCCGGGCCTCCCGATCACGAAGCGAACGCTCTACCACTAGGCTACCGTGAAAGGTGGAACAATAAGAAGAGAGACAGAGAGAGAATGCACCTTCGTAAATTTCGGCGATTTTTTTAGAAAACCTCTTTTCAAGGTCCTGAATCTTTTCCTGGCAATTACTGTTTACTCTTTTCTGCTCCTCAGTCAGAGAATCAACCTTTCTTTGTAATATTTCCATGTTTTTCTTCACAGAATTGACGTCATCCAGAGCTGTCCTGACGTCATTGACAACGGATACCCGTATTAGTGTCTCTTGATTGACGAGCTGACGGAGGATATCGATATCCTTTGCGTCATTTCCTTCGTTTATCAGAGCAGTGGCGTTCTGATCGTTAGTACTGGTTAACAAGGAAGCCGTCTTGACTTGTGGTACAGACATGAAAGTCAGTACAAGAACTAAAAACATCGTCGTCCTTTCAATTTTGTTGTGAGATTACCAGTGAAAAAGAATTTTGTGCAGCAGTTAGATGGATTCCCTCATTCAAATGATGTCATAAGGTGTGTAAACAAAAATGAAGTGTGTAAACATCAGAATACTTGACAGAGTTACCCTTGACAGTACTTGATGTGTGCAGTATAACAGCAATCACGAATATTGTGATAAAGAAATGTCTAGATAATGCGCAAAAAATTAGTGTGTAAACATCAGAATACTTGACAGTGCTACCATTGACAGTACTTGATATGTGCAGTATAACAGGAATCACGAATACTGTGATAAAAAGAGATGTCTACATAATGCGCAAAAATTTTGTGTGTAAACATCAGAATACCTGACAGGGTTACCCTTGACAGTACTTGACAGTACTTGATGTGTGCAGTATAACAGGAATCACGAATATGGTGATTAAGATATGTCTAGATAATGCGCAGAAATTTAGTGGGTATACATCAGAATACTTGGGAGTTTCTATTGTTTGAAGTATAACGGGAAACATGTCTATTGCGACGAAAGATACTTATATCATTATGTCATTAACTTGTTTATTTAAGATAAAAGTATAAACAATAACAGAGTCAGAAATACTTAAGCAATAGAAACTATTTACTTTTTCCTGAAGATAAAGGAAACAAAGCACTGTTTACGACCACATATTAAGTATTTACGTCTCACTTAATTATACTGTTATTTATGGCTATATGTAACAGAGGACATCCGAAACTTAAATCCGCAATACTATGCTATATTTTGTTTTTAAACTGCCGGTTTTTTTTTTACATCAGCTGTAGACATTTATGCAAAAAATTTTTCAATTATTATAATATTAATATGGTACTAGTAAAAAAATGTTCAAATAAATTATCCGTTCTAAACTCATAAGTTTATAATTAATGATATAAAATACCACAAAATACTAGTTAGTCTATTATTTATACACTTAATTGATGACAAATCCCGAGAATGAATACACAGTTGTTGTGACCGGTCGGTAGTTGATGCTAAATAGTATTTGCTCTACTTTTGTTTTGTATTATTTATGGACTTTAAATCTTGAAAACTGTTCGTTATCTCCCTTTGTATCATTCACAAGAAATTTTATATGACTATATATTGAATAAAATGTCTATATAACTATTAAAGATGACAAATTAATGAATGCAATTTGATCCACATGAAAACATTTGTTTCTACATTTTTCTTTTCAAAATACCATGTATTTCTTTACATTTAAGTTATTGTTAAAACTTAAATCACCGTTTTTGCTATGCTCCATTTCTACCATGAAACTTTTTCTAGTTCTTATTACGTACTTTTTGGTCTTTTGATACTAACAGGATCAGGGGGCTGAATGACTCCTGTCATAACATTACGACAGTACTTTGTCTTCTATTTCCACAAACATGTAACCTTACAACTCTAGGGTCGATGCACTCTCAATACACTGTGAAAATCTTAACTCAGCGATGTCACAGTTTCTATGCATAAGTCCTGGTCACTGCATCAAAAATATGTAATCCCTAGTAGACCTCTTTAATAGATATAGTTTATACATTAGCAAAGTTCCCAGACCCCTTAGTTTTAAGTAAATGAACTCCAGTTTTAATTGTCAGCCCAAGTAAGGGGATTTGTAAATTATAATAAACAAAACAGTGGTGTGATACTTGTTATATCATTTATCTAAAAGCGAAGAAAGGAACAAATATTTAGATATTTATTTATCAAAAAAGTTATAAAATTTCATAGTAAAAAAATTAAGTTATCTTTCTTTATTTTGATGTTTCCAAAGATTTTGCTTGACGTTGAATAAATATATTTCATTTCAAAGCACATTAAAAAAGGTTTAAAAAGTCCCAAACTCAAAAACATTCTACTTTCGCTTTGGATCGAACTAAGGTTCCAACTTCTCCAACGAATTATTACGAGTTGTAAGTCTCAGATTCATAGGGACTCAATCTTTACCCCTTTGAACATATATTACCCCATTTCAAGCTATCAAAGCAACTAAACGTCCATTTTTTTCCTAAAACATGATTTGCTTCTGTCCTAGAAATAAACAAGTGTTACTCTTTCATCACATGTAATATCATTTAGTGCTCTTTTAAAAAACAATTTTCCCAAAATTCTAGCAAAAATTAAATATTTCTTAAAGATCCTTGTTAAAATTTATGATAGATAATGATTAAATACTGGAATATAATTTACTGTTAATACTGCAATATAAATTTTACTTTAAATTCACATAAATTAAAAAAAAAACTTTTTTTTAATTTGAGAGCGAGACTGCCTCTTGACAACGGGCTGGGACCTAGATATCTCAGCCCCGAGGGCCAGAGAGTCCTTTGACAACAGATCAAGACGTAGATATCTCAAGCCCGAGGGCCAGAGAGTCCCTTGACAACAGATAGAGACATAGATATCTCAGCCCCGAGGACCAGAGAGTCCCTTGACAACAGATAGAGACATAGATATCTCAGCCCCGAGGGCAAGAGAGTCCCTTGACAAGAGATGGAGACATAGATATCTCATCCCCAAGGGCGAGACAGTCATACTTCCTAGTGGCTGTATCATGCACCTAGTCCAAAAGATCTGTATCAGGGGAGATGCATTATATACAATTAATAGGTATAAATGTTATAAAATTAAGATTCAATTCAATGTTGAAATTCGCGGAAAGTAAAGCTGCCATTGTGAGATGTATTCAAAAATCGATATTTATTCTGATTTCCTGTCCAGACATCTTCATTCCGAATTGCTCCTAAAAAAGAACGAAACATGTGCGATTTTCAATTTATTACAACACAGATAATGTGTAGCTGTAGTGGGAGCATTCGGTGGAGAAAATTATTAAAACTTTTATAGATAGTTTTCAGTAGACCCAAATTAACAAGAATTATTTCCATTCGGCAGCCATATTGTGGGTCTACATGCTCATATCCCTTCATAATTCAACCAACTTTTTACTTTTTATACTGGCTATTGTAGGCTGGGAAGCATTGTTTTACTGACAATTATACCTTTGTAAGAACCTCCTTTATTTCATTATGTTTATTCCATAACAATTTTCCCCAAAATATTTCTGCTACACCTTAGTATATTTGGTCGGACAAAAAGGGAAAATTACCTGTTACCCACAAGATGGATGCCAACGGGAAATAACTCTTGTTAATATGGGTCTACCGAAAACTATCAATTTCTTCAGGAGATAGTTCAACTGCTAAACATAATCCTTCGCATTTTTTTCTATTTGATCTACATAAATATGTATGTAGGATATCACGTGATTTGTAGTTGGTTGTGTGATTTTCATCCCTGATCATATCCAACAAAAAAAAATCCTGGAAAATTCTTTCCATCCCATGTTTAAAATACTTCACAATCGATATTTGACACAGGTTTGTATATATAGGACTCCACTTTATTTTATTCCTTTGGCAAACCAATTATGGCTCACAACTATGGGATACAAAATCAATATCACATGAGTTATGTCAAAGGGTTTAAGGGTTAAACTTGGGATAATAGACATTATGTAAATAAATCTCAATAAAATTCAAAATATTTGTATAAAGAAGAAGGTATGATACTTTATATGTTGATAATTCGATATAATATAAGACAATATATAAAGTTTTAACACAACAAATGTAGAGCAATTTACGCGTCCTTACTTATCTATTATTATAAGTAGAAAGCTTTTCAAAAAAATACCGACATTCTATATTTTGAATGATACTCAAGTGTCCTGTTTCTATTAAAGTTGTGTTATTTCTACACCTGCATGCAATTTTCTCTTTCGTTTGTTGCTTTCATGTAAGCTACCTCTGTATACACTATAAGTAAACTTATATTGACGAAAAGTAAGATACATCTGTTTACACTGTAAGTTAGCTTATATTGACGACAACTTCATTCGACTTCTTTCAAATGCATAATTTACGCTAAGGAAAATTCTAGGGTTAACTTTACACACATAATTTGCATGTACTCCGAAATGATATTTATGGCTTAGTGTGTTGCTGAGAGTAAAAAAAGGGATTGTAGAATACGCCTTATGAAATAAAATTTTAACTAAAAGTATGATAGATATAATATGTTTGCAAATAATGTGCCTAAGGTTCGAAAAAGAATTCTCAAAACGTCAGTTATTGTAAATGAAGCTGAATAAATTTGACGTCAATCAAAGCTAGTACCTGATGTAGCTTATCTGAAGAAAAATGTGCACGAATTCATAAATAACAACACGGCTAAAAATGAAAAAAAAACTCTTTGAGTATGAATATAGTATAAGTGACACAGGCAGAAATATCCTTGTGTTGGAACTGAAAATACTATAGGATTGTTCAACTTATATTGGTGAATATTGGCACGGGTTGGCTGTTCAAATTCACGAGCCTGCGAGTCGAAAAGCCAACGAGTGCCAAAATCCACCAATGTATAACTTCAATAACTCCTTTATTATATAGCTAAAACATTTTGAAATAACTTAAAAAAATCTTCAACCAAATAAAGGGAAATAATTGATTTTTTTTTTCAATATCGGTATTCAAATAAACGTTTGTCCTGTCAGCGTTCAATATCGCATCATTCTGATGACCCAACTGAGCGATTTGATTTGCTTATTTTGGTTTTAATGGGTCTAAAAAGTACTATATACTAAACATTATACTAAACATTATTAGTTCTAATATAAAAAAAAATGTTATCTGTAAATAAATTAAGCCATGAGAAAATTTTATTTATTTGACAAAAACCGCGCAAGTCTAGAAAATTATCTCACCTGTATGAAATACAACCAAGACAGTCAAGATTCAGCTTCCCACTAAAATCTTGTCTATCCCAGCCGTTCATTTCATACCAGGTTTACGTTTGTAGATTTCCATCTCCATATTTGTAACTCCTTCGAAATTTGCAATAATTACTTTAAATTTGGATTTGAATTTTAATTACTATTATTCCGACCTTAAGTACTTTTTTAACTTCTAAT